AGAGCCTGACAGTCATCAGGTGTTTCTCTTGTTCTAGTTCTCATGTTCCAGTTATGCTCCTCTACATCATTCCCCACAACTTATTTATACAGTGCACACATAGTCTCAGGTAGGTCTGCACAGGTAAAAGAACACATTCTTGCAATGAGATTTCATAAGCTGTTGAACAAAGAGTAATTCAGAAAATGATTAAATTGAATGATGTTAATTTTATATTTACAGTTTCCCTCCTAGAATTCATTTATAACACTACCAAATTTTAGTAGGCTTAAATTTGATACCGTATACACTCTGACTTTGAACTATTTTTAAGTGTGTTTCTATATCGAACTATTAGTAAATGTTGGTCTATATTGCATGATGTTATTACAAAACATAGTGGCATTTATAAAAAAGAATCTGTAAAATGTTTCCTTTTATTTGTGATTAAATAAAATATGTTTAAATCTAAAAAAAAGAGTTGGAAAAAGATTTTGCGATCAAACCACCTAAGATGCAAACTGTTATTAGTTATCCTAATATCTAACGAAATTGACTTCAAAACTAAAGTATTAAAAAAGATGGAGATGGACATTACATGTTCATCAAAGAACAATCCCACCAAGATAATATCTCAATTCTGAACATCTATGCCCCAAATACAAGAGTACCCACACATATAAAAGCAATATTATTAAAGCTTAAATTACACATTGAACCCCTGTGCATTAATAGTGGGATACTTCAGCACCCTACTCTCACCACAGAACACATCCTTCAGACAAAATGAACCATGAAATAAAGAAATTATTAGATATTATGACTTAAATAGACCTAATAGATATCCACACAACATTTCACCCAAACACAAAATAATATGCCTTCTTCCCAGCACCTCATAATACTTTATCCAAAATTGGCCATATATGGTCACCAGAGCAAGTCTGAATAGATGCAAGAAAACTGAAATAATCCCCTATATCTTTTTGGGATTTTTGAGTCAGGGTTACTCTGTGTAGTTTTGTAGACCAGGCTGACCTTGAACTCACAGAGATCCACCTGCCTCTGCCTCCTGAGTACTGGTACTGGAATCAAAGGCATACATCATCACGACCTGGCAATCCCCTGTATCTTTTCAGGCCACCATGGATTAAAGATGCATTTCAACAAACAATAGAAAACCAGAGACTAATGGAAACTGAAAAACTCTTTACAGTATTTCCACTAAGGCAAGGAAGATTAAAATAAAAAATTAAAGACTTCTTAGGATTTAATAAAATTGAATGCCGAACATACTCAGAGTTATGGGACACCACAAAAGTGATGTTAGGAGGAAACTTCATAGCACTAAATACCTTCATAAAGAAATTAGAATGATCTCACACTCAAAACTTAACAGCATATCTGAAAGCCCTAGAAGAAAAAGAAGCAAACACAATCAGGAGGAGTAGATGACATCAGGAAATAATCAAACTGAGGACTAAATCAATAAAATACAAAGAGAGCAATATAAAGAATCAATAAAACCAAGTGTTGGTTCTTTGATAAAATCAGCAAGAAAAAGAAACCCTTAGCTCAACTATCTAAAATGCAGAGAGAGAATATCCAAATTAACAAAATTAGAAAAAAGGTGGACATACACACAGTCACTGAGGAAAACCAAAGAATCATTAGGTCATACTTCAAAAAATGGTTTTGCCTTAAAATTAGAAAATTTAAAATAAGTGGACAATTTCTTTCAATATATACCACTTACCAAATGTAAATCAAACCAGATGAACAAGTGGAATAGACATATAACCCCCCCAAGGAAATAGAAGTAGTCATTAAAATCTCCCAACTAAAGAAGTCCAAGGACAGGTGAGGTTAGCACAGAATTCTACCAGGCTTTCAAAGAAAAGCTAATATGAATACTCTTCAAATTATTCCACAAAACAGAAACAGAAGGAACATTTCCAAGTTCTTTTTATGAGGTCACAGTCACCCCTATGCCCATACACACAAATCGTCAACAATGAAAGAGAATTACAGACCGGTTTTCCTCAGGAACATAGATGCAACTGCATTCAATAAAAACTAACAAACAGAATCCAGAGACACATAAAAAAGACCATTCCACATAATCTAATGGGCTTTATCCCAAAGATGCTTAGATAGTTCAGCATATGAAAATCTGTTAATGTAATCCACCATATAAACAAACTGAAAGAAAAAATCCACATAATCATGAAAAAATCAATACTACATCATGATAAATGTCTTGGAGAGAACAGGAATACAAGAGACATATCTAAACACAATAAGGACAATATACAGCAAACCAATGTCCAACATCAAATTTAATGGAGAAAAACTCATAGCAATTTCCACTAATATCAGGGACAAGAAAAGACTATGCACTCTCACCATATCTACTCGAGAGAGTACTCGAAGTTTTAGCTGGAGTAATAAAATAATTGACAGAGATCAAGGGGATATAAAATGAAAAGGAAGAACTCAAAGTATCACTATTTGCAGATGCTATGATTGTATACATAACTGAGCCAAAAACATCTACCAGGGAAACTCAAGAGCTGGTAAATACATGTAGGAAATTGAAAGTAACTAAAAAAAATCAGTGTCCTCCTGAATACAGATGATAAATGGACAGAGAAAAAATCAAGGCTAGAACAGTATCCACAAATATTAGAAAATATCTTAGTGTAACTCTAATCAAGTGAGGCCGTTTGAACAAAATGGTACCCAAAGCAAGTGACACTATTAGGAGGTGTGGCCTTACTGAAGTAGGCATAGCCTTATTGCATGAAGTGTTTCACTGCAGGGGTGGGCTTCAAGGTCTCTTTTATACAAGCTTTGCTTTTGTGACAGACAGACAGACAGACTGTTTCTTGCTGCCTGGAAGACACAGGTTTCTCAGCTACTTCTCAAGCACATAACTGTCTCCACTCTGCCATGCTCTTCGAAATAATGGTAATGGACTGAACCTCTGAAACTGTAAGTGACCTGTCCTAATCAGATATGCTTTTTTATAAGCTTGGCCATGATTATGTTATATTTTAACAACAATAGAACTACTAACTAAGACATCAAGCATGTGAAAGACCATTATTGCAAGAGCTTCAGGTTTTTGAGGAAAGAATGAGAAGAAGATATGAGATTGAAAGATCTCCCATGCTCATGGAGTGATAGGATTACCACAGTAAAAAGTGGCCGTCTTACCAAAAGCAATCTACAGATACAATGTACTCCCAAATCAAAGTTACACCACAATTCTTGAAAGACCTTCAAAGAACAACACTCATCTTCTTATGGAAAGACAAAAAAATCAAGTTAGCTAAAAATTATCCTGTATAATAAGGGAACTTTTGAAAGTATTACCATCTCTGATTTCAAGATCTGCTATAGAGCTACAGTATTAAAAACTACATTGTATTGGCACAAAAACAGGCAGGTGGGTCAGTGGAAAGGAGTAAGTGGCAGAGGGGCTGGCAGGGTAAGAGGGAAAGAAAACTTTGGTCATGGTGAAAAAAATAAATAAACCAAAAGCAGCATTAAAAAAAAGAAAATAGTGTCTCAACCAAGACTGGACAGGCTGTACATTTCTGTGAATAATTCTGTTAATTGATGCTGGACGTGGTAACAGACCACTGTGGGAAGCATCATTCCTATGCAGATGGTCCTTGGCTGTACAAGAAGCTAGCTGAGCATGAGCTAGACTGTGAGCCTTGGAATGATCCAGCAAGCATCATGTTTTATGCCTTGACTTCCTTCAGTGCTACAATATAACACAGCCCCAAAAAGGAAATTGAATCTACCCTCCTAAACTGGTCTTTTTCAGGATGTTTTATCACAAATAGAAATAGGACAGTATATAGGGAAGACACATCACTTTGAATAATTGTGATTTGTGCTCAGAAGTAAACCTCTGTGCAGAGAAAATGTCGTATTTAGATAACCATCATTGGTCAGAAAGTGCGTGTGTGGTACACTATATTAATGTCCTCTATTTTTTTAACTAGACAGGATTTCATGTAATCCTATAGACACGGCTGACCTGGATGTAAAAGACCCACCTATCTCTGCCTCATGAGTGCTTGGATAGAAGGCATTCCACCAGTCCCAGATGTGTCCCTTTTTTTAATCTCAAGAGGTATTTCCTAGGACTTTCCTCTGAAATTTCCTAAGCACAACGTTCCTACTGCGATTGCCCTTCCTCTGGATTCACACTAATTCCAACTTTAGTCCAGGGTTTCCCAGGAAAAATCTACAAACCTGTCTAAACCCTGCCCTAAACTACTAGCTCTTTCTTTTCTCTGAGTACATCTTTTTTCATGGGGACCGTAACAGTCTCCTCCCTCATGGCATCTCTCTTAGGGAAAAGCAGGATTACCACCAGGGAATCAAGTAGGAAAAGGACAAAGGTGACCCAGGAAGATCAGGGAGGACTTAGACTCAGCCAACACATAATGCTAAGTGTTGCCTTGAAACCCTCCATAAGGTATAGTCCACGGTCCTTTCAAAGACACACAGGTCACCTCTTCCCCAACACTGAGCACATGACTCTAGGCATTTCTCCTGGATCTATAAATTGACTGTTGAAATTAGTGATAAAGGACTGATCTTCATCCCTAGTTATCACCCAGCTGCTTTCTTTCCAGCCCTCAGAAACTTCCCTGTCACTTTCCACCTGGTATTAAGTAAATCCCACCTTCCCACAGCATTGAGAACACAGGGCATACTGAGTTCTTAGCTTGTTCTATGTGTCACAAGCATGATGGATGCTTCTCTGATGTTGACCCAAAGCAAGGACACAGCAGGTGTCAGCCCTAGGATGAGTCATTGTTCTCTGAGGAAATGGAGATGCTTATCAGCACTGTGGCTCATGTGTATTGCTTGGAGGAGAAACATAAAGGGAAGTTGAGAGGGATGCAGATCAGTGCAGAGGATGGAAGGCATTTGATTCCAACCCCATCACTCATAGCCCATTGGATTCTAGGAAGTACTCCAGTCTGAGGAGGAAGGAGAGCAGAGCCTGAGTTCTGTGTTGGAGATGAGGCTCTTCTCCTCAGAGGGAGGACAGCAAGTGAGAAGATTGATGGAGGAGTCCTCCGTTCATCTCTGCAAGGGGTGTAACCCCTGGCAGGGGCTTCTGCTCACAGGTAAGGGTAACCATTCTCTGACTGTGTGAGGAGGGAATCTCAGAAGCAGACTTGAGCCTCTTGAAGAGGACAGGAACTTCAGAGGAGACTCAAGGCTTTTGTTTTCGGTTATGATGCAGAAGGCAGAGTGAGGGACAGACGCTCAGCAGCCTGAATCTCTCAGGGGACAGGAGGTGATGGTGGTAAGAAAAAAGCTTCAAACATCCCATATTCACTGTGAATTACAGTGGCTGCAATGTTCTGAAGGCAGCTCTTCCCAAACAACAGTATGATCCTTGAAACAGAAATCAAACAGGGAGGGCTAGCGAGACATCTCAGTGTGTGAAGTTATTATAACATGAATCCAATCCTTAGTTTCCCCCACAGTGGATGATGGAGAGAACAGACTCCTGCAGGTTCTATTCTGCCCTCTACAAAGGTGCTGTGGTGTGCACACACACACACACCCTGACACACACACACACACATTTGTGGCATACATCTTCATATGTGCACAAGGAGACACCAGCCTTTTCTTATACACAAAATATATTTACGTAATGAAATCTAAAACAATTTCTTCCACACTTGAATATTATTATTGTCATAAGCTCCAAACCTAGGAACTATGAAGAGAAATCTGTAGAAACCCGCTCTTCCTTCCTTCCTATTTTTCTTTTTCCAGTTGTATCTGAGTCTTTTCCAGGAACTGAAACTTCCAAAAAGGCCAGACTAATCCTGCTCTTACAAATCACTTTTTGTACTGCAGTGCGGTACATACCTTTAATCCCAATACTTGGCACGCAGGGTCAGGTGATCCCTGTGAGTTCAAGGCCAGCCTAGTCTTCAGAGCAAGTACCAGGAGAGAGAAGCTGCACAGAGAAACCCTGTCTCAAAAAAAGAAACCAGACCAAAACCAAAAATGAAGCATAGCAAACAAACAAAAAAGCCCTGGTTCTAGTGGACCTGATGTCAGTATATCTGGTAATGGAGAAAAACAGCAAAAGGTGAGGACTCTCCAGAGGAGGATATCAGAGAGGCATGCCCCTCAATCCACATACTCTATGTGAGGAGAGATTTGGGACACTGCAGGGTGGAGAAATAGCTGAACAGAGAATTCCTAAGAGAGTAACTAATCCACTCAGACACTAAATCAATTAAACGCATGTTGCTCATGTCTGCAAAGAGGGTGGGCAACCCTGACTCACACACCAAAGTTGAATGGTGATCACACCTGTCTAATTTTGGTGAGTTTTCTCAATTCTCTTCTAGCCTCCCTTTTAATCTTCTGCCACCTCTCCAACACTGCCCATGTGACTGTGACCATTGAATCAGTGCCACCCCTAGTGGCCAAAGGAGATGATGTCCTTTTTCTTGTCCATGATCTGCCAGAAAATGCTCAAATATTAGCCTGGTTCAAAGGGCTAACAAACATGAAAGACGCAATTGCACTATATGGACTGTTCAACAATGTAAGTGGGCCAGGGCCTGTGCACAGTGGTAGAGAGACAATATATCGCAATGGATCCCTGCTGATCGAAAAGCTCACTGAGAAGGACACGGGATTCTATACCATACGAACCTATAATGAACATATAAAAATTGTATCAACAACATCCACGTACCTCCACGTGCAGGGTAAGTGATTCATTGTGAGCTCTGTGAGCTGGGTGTGGCTCATTTCACTGGTCACAGACAGGAGAATGGTCTGTGCCTACCTTCCCTGTGCACTGTGCCCCATGTTGGGGCTTGAGAATTTAGTGCAAGACACATATGGTGTAGAATAAAGGAAATAGGTCAGAATCCTTCCTTTGATTTTACCTTGCACATAGTTGGATGCATGATGTGTAACTCAGCCAGGGATATCAGCCCCTATCTAGACTCTAGGGGTTCTTACCAGGAATGTTTCCTCGAGAGATACTCCTCAGGAATCAACATTGTGCCTGGTTGTGGAAAATGTAGGGGCCCTCACAGAGATGTGAATACCAGGATGCCGTGCTCCAAATCTTTGTCCCAAAGTCAAATCCAGGTGTCCATGAGAAGCATTTTAAAAGTGTTGGATTTTGATTTCCTGATGACAGGGAACAGTACTTCCTACTAGTCAATGTCTTATGACTGTCATAAGAACATTGCCTGAGCTATCTCTTTCAGGGAGTTAACAGGGGAATATAGCTCAATAGGTATCCAGGCCATTAGTTAATTGTCCTGTTGGGTATATAAGAGAGGGACACAGGACATGGTTTTTCCTTCCAAGTGCTTGTCCTTGGGTCCAGCTCAGAGAACTCTCTCCTGCAGGCAAATGGCTACAGTCTATACTAATCTGACAGCTTCATGGACGTGAGCTGTAGTTCCCCCAGCGATTACCAGGATGTCATCAGATACACAAGGAACTAGCAGAAAATATTTGTCTGAACCAGGAATGTACCTAGTAGCCTGGATCCACCCCTGTTTTTTCAGACCTGGATATCATGGTAACAGCATTGTTAGACTTACTGGCTATCTAATTTGCCTGCTATACTGCTAGATCTTGTTCTGTTTCCCATTTCATGTGTTTTCTTTGGGAAATACATGACATCCATGAGAGATATACAATGTAGAAGTCCAAGGCATTTCAGAAAGGTCTTGGAGCACATGGTTAGACTCATTACACAGCTCAGAAAACATAGGAAATGAGAGCATGATCTTCAAAATCTTGCACAGGATGAAGGACCTTACAGCCCTTTTCCAGGAATCAAGTTACCTCCTAACACACACCCAAGATGTGAGACTCTTGATACATCATAGGCATTTAACCCCACTGTGAGCCCAGTCTGACATCACTCACCTGGTCCATTTGTAGCCTCAAAGGCAGTTTTGTCACCTTCCTGCTGGGATCAAGTTCCATGTTTCCAGAACATTGTAAACACGGGGCAGACTGGGTACATTTCTGGGTTTTTTGTCATGCAGTTGTGCAGATTTCCCCCTTTTTGATGCTGACAAACCTTGGCCAGGACACAGCAGAGTGCAGTCCCATGGTCAACACTACTATCTTGTGTCACAGGAATCGCCATTACCCTCAACTCTCACTGTGTGTTCTAGAGGACAGAAACATAAAGAATGGGGAAGGCACATCGGGGCAGCACAGAAACTGGAGTGGAAAAGCGTTGTTGGGAACACAGACCCATTCTCAGCTGATGGGACTCTGGGACATGCTCCTTCCAGTGAGAGACTGAGCTTAGATGGGGGAAGGCCAGTAGAGTTTGTGAGTTGTGCTGGAGCAGGCATACCTCAGAGGGATGACAGGCCAAGCTACTGAGACAATGGAAACGCCATCAGTACTCCTTTACAAAAGGCTGCATCACATATCAGGGGGGCACCACATTCATGAATGAGGAGTCCAGTGTGTGGGAGGAGACAATCTGACACATTGTCTGTAGTCTCCTCAGTGGCACAAAAACATGAGAGGAGTCTCAATGTTGGTAAGGGAGAAGATAGAGAGTGAGAGAATGTCAGCATTAGGATGCTCTCATTGAATATTAAACAGAAAGGGTGGGGAGATTTAATTCTTACACAAAGTTAGTAAGCATGGTCGCAAAATTCTGAAGACTGATGCTCTCAGCTTGAGAACTCAACTGAAAGTCAAGCTGATATGGCTCAGTGATGTGGTCCAATAGATACAGGCATTTACTTCTTTGTCTGACAAGCTGGGAGCAATGAATGTAAGGCGTCTGACCTCCACTTAAGTACTGTGTCCAGGATACACCCACACACACACATACACAGACACACACACACACACACACACTAAACTAGCCCTTACACTACTCATGCACAAGTATAATATGTAAACATGTGGAAAACATCAAGGAAATGGGATGATCCAATACTATATCCCTAAACCTATGAGTTTCTTAAATGAATCCTTGGTCATACTGGGGTCTAGGACACCATTCAATATTTTAGTCTCCACATGGATCTGAGATTTTTTTCTAGGCAGCATTTTTTTTTGGTTTCATCTCTTATTTATTTTCTTTTTTTTTAGTTTTTTTTTTTAATTTTAAATAGCTTGTTTTACATGTCAATCCCAGTTCCCTCTCCCTCCCCTCCTCCCGCACTCCCCTTCCACCCTCCCTCCCACCCTATTGCCACATACTTCCACATAGGGGATGTCTAGAGTCTATCATTTTACTCTTGGTAGGGTCAAGGCACTCCCCTAAGAGTCCAGGCTGAGAGAGCATCTCTCTTTGTGCTATAGGCACATGAAGACAGATTGTATACCAGGAATAGACACTGATCCACAGCTCAGAGCCCCATAGGTTGTCCAGGCCTTCTCACTGACACTCACATTTGGGGGGGTCCAGATCAGTCCCATTCTGGCCTCCCCACTGTCGGTCTGGGGTCTAAGAGCACTCCCCTGATCAGATCAGCTGTCTCTGCTGGTTTTGCCAGCCCATTCTTTGCCAATTTGCTCATCATTCCTCTCTCTCTGTCGCTGGGTTCCTTGGGTTCAGTTCAGTGCTTAGATGTGTGTTTGCCTCTGCTTCCATCAGTCCCAGGATGAAGGCTCCCGGATAGTTATAGCCATCAAGTTCATTATCAGGAATGGGCATTCGAGGTGGTCCTTCCACTATTGCTTAGCTTGCCAATTGATGTTATACCTTTAGATCACTCGAGGTCACTCTGGTGCCTGATCTGTCTTTGATCCTATGATTCCCTCTTCCCCCTATTCTACCCCCACCCCCTCAACTTCCTGTTCCCCCATGACCAACTCCCTTAGATATGCATATATACATAGTACCCAAGAGAAGAGGATGGAGACAAGATCCTCTGAATGGATGGGGAACAGGGCGAGGGGGGGTAGTGGGTAAAGAGGAAGGGAGTAGGCAGCATTTTTTTAAAAAAAGAAACAAGGCAGCTTATGGTTCTTTTCATTTAAATTATGAACAACCCTATTTTACATATCAATCCAAATTTCTGCTCTCTCACATTCTCCCATGTCCATCCCATTTCTGCTCCCCAGGGAGGTTGATGCCTTCCGTGGGGGATCATTAAAATCTGTCACATAATTTGGGGTGGGACCTAGGCCCTCTCCATTGTGTCTAGGCTGAGCTAGTATCCTTCTAGGAAGGATTCCTATCTGGGAATGAGTTCCCAAAGTCCATTTGTACACTAGGGATAAATACTAATCCAATACCAGAGGCCCCATAGATTGTCCAAGCCTCCTAAATGACACCTATGTTCAGTGGTCCTGGTTTGGCTCTATGATTGTTTCCCAGCTGTCAGTCTGGGGACCATGAGCTCCCAATTGTTCAGGTCAGCTATTTCTGTGTGTTTCCCCAGCCTGGTCTTGACGACTTTGCTTCTCATTCCTTCCTCTCTACAACTGGGTTCTAGGAGTTCAGCTCAGTGTTTAGCTGTGGATCTCTGCTTCTGCTTGCATCAGCTGCTGGATGAAGGCTCTAGGATAGCTTATAAGGCAGTCATCAATCTCATTATAGGGGAAGGGCATTGAAGGTAACCTCTCCACTATTGCTTAGATTCTTAGACAATTTATGATTCTTATGTTGCTCCAGTTCAAGTGGACTTGAAGCAAATGAAGCTAGAAGGTGAATTCAGGTGTTAGCTACAAGCACAAGAAGAGCAGAACAACCAAAAAGTCAGAGAGTGAAGACAGGGTCTGTATAAGATGTAGAGCAGGCATCCATTGTAAATGAGAGCAGGGGTCTGATGACAATAAGCAGGGGCAATATTGACACCTGAAGAAAGGGAGACATACAGTGGAAATGACCAGTGTGGGGACACTGAGAACAAGAAGGTCATGTTTTGACACCCACCTAGTGGGAGAGGTTGACTCTCACACACAAACATAAGCTGAGCAATGAACACAGCTGCTCAGGACACAGGGCCTCATCTTAGTCAAATACAAATGTCTCAATTTACATGGATCTCTCTCTTAAATTCTAGATTTCCTTTGGAACTGCGGGCGCCATGCCACCTCTGCCCAACCCACAATTGAATCAGTGCCACCCAGTGTTGCTGAAGGGGGGAATGTTACTCTACTTATTCACAATCTCCCGGAGAATCTTGAAGGTTTTGTCTGGTTCAAAGGCATATCTGTGTTCTGGAAAAATGAGATTGCCCGATACACAAAAGGCAGCAAATCAAGTATTACAGGGCCTGCTTACAGTGGCAGAGAGACGTTGAACAGTGATGGATCCCTGCTGCTTCACAACGTCACTCAGAGTGACACTGGATTGTACACCCTACGAATTATGAGTACAGATATGAAAAGTGAAGAAGCACACGTGCAACTCCAGGTGGACAGTAAGTGATTCTCTGTGATTGTTCAGTGCTGGGTGGGGCTTAGACACACAGAGCTGTCATGGCTGGCCTGGTCTCATTTCCCTTCACAAGGTGTCTCCATATGGAAGTTTGTGCATTTAATTTACAACAAATACGGTAGAGACAAATGGCCATAGACCAGCATGCATCTTCTCACCCCACCTACATCAAAGAAGACCTAAAATATGAGTGTCAGCCCAGTGTCTTGGGCCTCTAGATCAGGGATCCCTGAGCCCTGTCATCTTTGCAAGGCAATAATAAATTGAGCAAAGAAAGTACTTCTCCAGTACTCTACTTTTGCTTCCTGTCAAAGCTGATAGGGAACAATAGATTTAGAACATCCCGATAAAATGGAGCATATATTACCTCCATATTCAGAGTATAATAAATAAAATCCAGAAGCTTGTAGAGATACCATGGAGGAGTGCTACCTACTGGCTTGCTCTGTAGGGCTTTCTCAACCTTCACTCTTATATCACCTATGTCTGCTTGCTCAGGGTTGGAACTGACTGCAGTGTTCTCAATTCACCCCCTCAATTTAAAAACTGGACTACATTCTTGCCCACAGGCCAATCAGGTGATGGCATTTTCAACTGAGGCCTGTCTTTCAAATTACTCTCACTTGTGACAAGGTGACATAAAAAAATCCAGCATAGGACCCAAGGCTTTTAAAGATGTGAGTCTGCCATGAGGATCAGACTGCTCCCTGATCCCACCCAGTCCCAGTCCTAAGGGTTGACAGGCAGGGAAGCAACAGCATCTATAGGGAGACCTCAGGGTTTGATTGGAGCCACAAAGGAAATGGAAAATCCAAGTCATGCAGAGATCATGGGAAGCCACATCTGAACCCTCATTGTGGATAAATATGTAATGTCTGACTGAGAGCAGTAAGGGAACAGTTGTGAAGACACATAAGGGGAGAGTTTCATGATGAGTAAATGACATTATTTTGGGGCACACATGCAAGGGAGGAGGTCATGTTCCTCACCTTGATTAAGTGGCACAGACATATCCACACCAGTTGATATAGCCAGAGTGACACATCTATCTGCTCAAGAAGGATGTCACCATCTTTTCATTATGCACAATAATCCCCACACGATGGCTTTTTTTCTCTTTTTCCTTTTAGTCTCCCATTCTCCATGCTGTAACCCTCTCACCTCTTCCCAAGTCATGATAGAACCAATGCCAATGTATGCTGCTGAAGGAGAAAGTGTTCTTCTCAAAGTTCATAATCTTCCAGAAGATTTCCAAGCCTTTACTTGGTACAGGGCGATATATCGTGTTCCGCATTTTGAAATTGTCGAACACAGCAGAGAACTAGATACCATCACCTGGGGAAATCAATATAGCCAAAGAGAGACTGTGTATGACAATGGAACCCTGCTGCTCCAGGACATCACTGAGAAAGATGCAGGAATGTACACACTAGAAATTTTGAAAAGTGATTCCAAAATTGAAAAGGCATATGTGCAATTCCATGTAAACAGTAAGTAACTCTCACTGTGCCTGCTCTCTTCCATTACTGCATTGTGTCCCCACAATAAGGTTTTGGCACTTACTGCTGGACACTCATTGGGGAAACAATCAACAATCAAGTATAGGTTAGAATCTCTACCTGTCTTTACCTACACAAGTGAGAACCTATTCTCAACTCATCACAAGGGTGCCAGGCTCAGTGCAGGCTCTGTGGCTCTCACCATGCAAATAGCCTCAATATAAACATTGTGGGAGTCAGACAGACACTGCAGAAGGAAGTCATGGGATCTGCACGGAGAGCACCAGGAAGCCCTGACTCCAAACCTTTGCCACTGGCTGCATTCTAGACAATGCTGTGGAGATTTTTGTCACTGTCCTGGTTTCCTTTTAGAGCTGACAGGGAACAAGTCTTTACTGACTCTCCAAATCCCTTAGAGTATAGAACCAGCTGTGTACTGCCATGACAGCTGCAGTTAGTTAGATCACCTGTGTATCTCCTTCTCCTAAGTCTCTATGGCCAGCTGTCTGGGCCATTGCCCTTTGTTCTGATGGCATTTGAGTCTTCGCAGGCAGGTGAAGGCATTAAGGGAAGAAACAGCAGAGGCAGATAATCCAGATTCTTCCTTCTCCTCATGGGTCCTTCTTGGGGAATTTTCTTCTGCAGCTAAATAGGAACAGATGATGCTGATGTGAGCATCTCCCCATCCCAGGGTCAGATCATTACTCACAATTAAGCTTAATTCAGAGACATGGCAATAATCATGCTCTATGTGTCCTATTATAGGGAAACAGTCACAGAAAATAATGTCTGAATCAGAGTCAGAGAGTTCATTGGTAGAAGAACCAAAACACATGCTCCATCTATAGTCACAGTTCCAAACTCTGCCTCTGGAGGCTTTACTAAGTAGGAACTAAGGAAGGGATGGTTGAAATCTCTGGACTACCATCATTTGTTACCCTCCTCTGTTTCTTCACAGAGCATGTGGCACAGCCCTTTGTGCGAATCACTAACAGCGTAGTCTCATCACACAGATCTGTGATATTCACCTGTGTATCACCTGACTCTGATGTCTCCATCCGTTGGTTCTTCAATAACCAGCACCTGCGTCTCTCAAGGAGGATGACTCTGTCCCCAACAAAGTGTGGACTGAGAATACATCCCGTTCGATTAGAGAATTTTGGAGAGTATAAATGTGAGGTCTCCAACCGAGTCAGTTCAAAGACCAGTCTTCCAGTCTTGTTTCAGTGAGCTCTCCTTTCATCCTACACTAGAATGTCAGCATTTCTTTATCAATTTTGCACTAAACAGAGAAAAGTTACATGTTGAAATTGATCAGTTATCATTCAGATATAGCCAGCATGGTGACTAATATCTATAATCTTGAGATACATATGTTTACAAGGATAGAACAAGATTTAAATTAAGATTATGTCTCCAAATAAAAATAAATAAGGCAATATGGTAAACAGAAATGAAAAGGATTTCAGAGCTTAGGTTATGGATCAAACATAGCCAACCATCAGAACTCATGGAAAAAATTTCAGGAATTGCTAGACTTTGGGATGCTCAGGGTCTGCTGTAAAAAGTGCATAGTGGAGAAAAGCAGTCTCATATGATAAAATACATTCATTGTGTAACATATTTATTAAATAAACATCTTAAGCAATTATGTCTCTCAACCTTATAAATTGTAATCTATTTTGTAAGTTTCTTTTAGAATTTGGTAAGAAAAAATGCTACAATTATCTAGTCTTCAACCTTTATCAAAGACCCATGAAGGATATAATCCTAGCTAAGTAAACAGGAAGTTTAGAGAAAACAACTTCCAAAACTATAGAAATGAAAGAGACATCTTGATGTCTGTAGAGTCACCCCAAGGTTTCTCTGTAATTCTGGAGCATCCATATTTTGCTTACAGGCCTAGAATATCTGACAGACTGTCCCACCTTGTCTTGGCAAAGTACAACAGTCACAATACAAACTAATGGGAAGAAGAAAATGAACATGATCATCTCATTAGATTCTTTAAAAGCCTTCAAAAAATCCAACAGCACTTCACAATAAAGGTCTTTGAGAGACCAGGGATAAAAGGAACATAAAAACACACAATTAAGGAAATATACAGCAAGCCAATGCCAACATCAAACTAAATGGAGGCAAACACAATATGGTTTCTCTAGAATCAGAAAAAAGACAAGGCTGCCCAATTTCTCCATGTCTATTCAATATAAACCTTGAAGTTACAGCTACAGCAATAAGAAACTCTGAAAGCCAAAAGGTTATGGATAGATGTTCTACACACGCTAAGAGACCATGCATGGATGCCAGTCCAAAATGCTGTCAACACTTTCAGTCTCCAAAGATGGAGAAAACAAGATATTCCATGAAAAAATTTAAGTGATACATGTCCACTAATCCAGCCCTACAAAATGTACTGGAAGGAAAACTCCAACACAAGGTAGTTAACAACACTCGCAAAAACATAGACAATACATAATCCCATTTTACCAAAAATCAAAAAATGGAGATAGGGGAAATTCACATGCAATACAAACAACCAAAACAAATCCAAGAGTAGCAAGAATCAACAATAAGCAGTCATTAATATGCCTCAATACCAGTGGTCTTAACTCACCTATAAAAAGACACAGTCTAACAGAATGGATACGATGACAGGATCAATTCTTCTGCGGCATACAATAAACACGCCTCAACTCCAAAGACAGACATCACCTCATAATAAAGGGTTAGGGAAAGATTTTCTGATCAATTATACATAAGAAAAGAAGCTGCTGTAACTCTCCTAATATCTAACAACTTATATTTCAAACTTCAATTAGTCAAGAGAGGTAAAGAATGTCATTTCATATTCATCACAGGAGAAAACCATCAAGATGAAGTCTTAATCCTGAATATCTATGCCACAAATGCAAAGGTACCCACATTCATAAAAGAAACATTACTAAAACTCAAATCATACACAAAACCATATGCACTTATACTGGGAGACTTCAACACCACAGAATTACCAGACAGAAACTTAACAAAGAAACAAATCAACTAACAGAAGTTATGACCTAATTTGGTTTAACAGATATCAATAGAAAATTCCATCCAAACACAAGTAAATATACATTCTTTTCAGTGCCATATGGAAACTTCTCTAAAATTGACCACATACTTGCCAATATAGCAAACCTCAACAAGTACAAAAATAGTTGGAATAATCCCCTGGATCTTATCGTATCAGCTTGGTTTGAAATCATAATTCAAAAACAACACAAATTACAAAAAACCATGCAAACTCATGGAAAATAAACAATGCTCAATTTCATCACTTCTGAGTCAAGGAAGAAATAAAGAAATTAAATACTGCCTAGAATTCAATGAAAATGAAGACACAACACAGAAACATGGGGGACACTCTGAAAGTGGAGTTAAGAGGAAATTTCACAAAACTAAGTTCCCACATGAAGAAGCTGAAGAATAGCCACAATAAAGAATTAACAGCATACCTGGAATCTCTAGAACAAAAAGAAGGAAACTCATCCAGGAGGAGTAGATGCCAGGAAATAATCAAATTGAGGGCTGAAATCAATAAAGTACAAACAAAGGTAACAATACAAATGATAAATGAAACAAAGAGTTGGTTCTTCTGGAAAACCAATAAGATAGACAAACCTTTATTCACACTAACCAAAAGGCAGAGAGAGAACACACAGATTAACAAAATCCAGAGAATCTTTGTGTCATACTTTGAAAACATATACTCCATAAAATTCAAAAATTTAAAGGAAATGGACAATTTTCTGGATAGATATCACTTAACAAATTAAATTAAGAAGAGATAAGCAATATAAGCAGACCTATAATACCTAATGAAATAGTAGTCATCAAAAGTCTCCCAACCAAAAACAGCCCAAGCCCAGATGGCTTCAGTGAAGAATTCTACCAGAAATTCAAAGAAGAGTTGCTTCCAATACTGCTAAAGTGTTTCACACAATAGGAGCAGGAGATTCGTTGCCAAACTCTTTTTATGAGGTTACAATTACATTAGTACCCAAACCACACAAAGACACAACTAAGAAGGAGAACTACAGACAAATCTCTCTCATGAACATTGATACAAAAATCCAAAATAAAATATGAGCAAATCACATACAAGAACACAACAGAAAAATCATCCACCATGATCAAGTAGGCATCATCTCAGAGATGCAAGGATGGTTCCACATGAAAACCTATCAACGTTTTGTGCTTGGGGACTGCCTGGGGATGGCCACTGAGCCTCCCATCCCAGAGTGAGCCTACACTCCCCAGATTCCTGGTCTTTTTTTCCACCAATGGGACCAGGTAAACTGGGATCTGTATCCTGGCCTGCCTTGCAGTGCCTGGGGACATCCTGGGGGCAGCCACTGAGCCTACCCTCCCAGAGCGAGCCTATGAAACAGAGTTTCCTGGTCTTATCTAACCACAGGACTTGTGCCTGGGGACTGCCATCGAGGCTCACCTCCCGGCCGGAGCCTACAGACCCCAGATTCTTGGTCTTCTTTTGCACAAAGAGAAACAGCACCTGGGGACCTGACTTCTCCATGGAAACTCTGAAAGTCATAAGGTCCTGGATAGATATTCTATCAACACTAAGAAACCATGGATGCCAGCCCAGACTACTATAGATGTAGAAAGCAAGATATTCCATGACAAACCTAGATTTAAACAATATATATCCACTAACCCAGCCCTACAGAAAGTTCTGGAAGGAAACTCACAACCAAAGGAAGTTAACTACAACCAGAAAAATGTAGGAATTAGATAATCCCACCTTACCAACAACCAAAAGAAAAAAAGGGGTGGAATCCCATACATAATTCCAACAACAACAATAACCATTCCAAATCAAAGAATGAGCAATCAATGGCCATTAATATCCCTCAATATTAATGGTCTTAAAACAACCATAAAAAGACACAGGCTAGAAGAATGGATTTGAAGACAGAACCTATCCGTCTGTTGCATAAAAGAAACACAGCTGAGCGTCAAAGACAGACATTACCACAGAGTTAAATGTTTGGAAAAGATTTTCCAATCCAATGGACCCAAGAGACAAGTGGGAGTAGCAATCTTAATATCTCACAAATTAGACTTTTTAAACTTTTTTATTACTTTAATTTTAAATAGCTTGCTTCATATGTCAATCCCAGTTCCCTCTCCCTCCCTTACTCCCACACCTCCCCACCATCCCCCCCAGTCTCCCACCCTATGCCCACTTCCTTCCACATAGGGGATATCCAGAGTTAGTCACTTCACTCACAGAAGGGTCCAGGCATTCCCCTAAAGGTCCAGGCTGAGAGAGAATCCCTCTTTGGGTTATGGACACACAAAGTCCATTTGTATGCCAGGGATAAACACTGATCTACTGCCCAGGGCCTCATTTTTTGCTCAGAACTCGTCACTGATTCTCACACTCAGGGAGTCTGGAACAGTCCCATGTTGCCCTCCCAGCTGTCGGTCTAGGGTCCAAGAGCTCCTCCTTGTTTAGATCAGCTGTCTCTTCTGGTTTTGACAGCCCATTTTTGCCAATTTGCTCATCTCTCCTCTCTCTCTGTCACTGGGATCCATGGGATCAGTGCAGTGTTTAACTGTGGGTGTTTGCCTCTGCTTCCATCAGTCACTGAATGAAGGTTCTAGGATGGCATATACTGTAGATGTCAAGTTCATTATCAGAAATGGGCATTTAAGGTGGTATCTCCACTACTGCTTAGCTTGCCAATTGGTGTCATAACTTTAGATCACTAGATGTCTTACTTGTGTGAGATCTCTTTTCTAACCTATGACTCCTTCTATCATGGTATTTCTCATTCTGTTATCCACCTATTCTACCCCCTACTCAACCTTCATGTTCCCCCATGACCTACTCTCTCCTCCTCTTCTCCCCCTCTATTGTTCCCAGCTCCCACTCCCCCTCCCCCTCTCAACATGATTCTAATCTGTTCAGAAGATCTTACCTCATTCCTCTTCCCTGGGGTACCATGCATATCTCTCTTAGGTACTTTCCTGTTTCCCAGACTCCCTGACAGTGGAACTCGAGACTGGCACTATCCTGATCCATGTCTAAAATCCATATATAAGTGAGTATATACAATGCTTGTCTTTTTGTGACTGGGTTTCCTCACTTAGGATGGTTTCTTCTAGTGCCATCCATTTACCTGCAAACTTCAAGATTCCATTGTTTATTTTTTCTGCTGAGTAGTACTGCATTGTGTAAATGTATC